GACAAAGTTCAGAAACATTTTACTGTACCACAGTTGGCAACGCGAGGCTTGGACAGCGTTTCTTAGTAGAATCGCAGCTCTGAATGAAAGCAAAAAGGCCCTGAATTTCCCTCCGAGGTGCATTCAGCGCCTATTGAGATCATCCGCAACTCTGTTTTTCTCCCCCCTTTTTTATCAACAAATTGCCTTTGATCTCCCTCTTTATCTTAAAGCCACAAACATTGCCAGGAAACTCATTACCTCGGAGAGTGAAATTCTTGGACACATTAGTAAAATGTGTCATTTGGTGGTGTTTTCCTCGCAGCAGGGGGGCGTAATGAGCCCGAAAAGCATCTCTGAAAAGTTTCCCACATGTTTGTGCTTCTGTAAAGGTGCAGCTCCGTTCCCATCCCTTTTCCCAGAGAGGAGAGAGGAGCGTGACCTCGTATCTGCTCGCCTCACCTTGTGTCTTTCCTCAAAGGAGATCCCTTTGATCTTGACAGACGTTAATTTGGGCTGGGCGAAGCAGGGGGTGTGTAATCCTCTGAAGAAACTGAAGGATAGATCCATCTATCTCACGTCAGCCTGTGTAGCTCCGCTTCTGTCTCTGGATTCGTGATGAAGATTTTTATTTTTTTTTCCCAGAGAAAGAAAAAAAAAACACGACATCAGACGTGCACTTTCAAAGGAATGCAAATGATGCATTTCAGAAGACAATGTTTAGGAAAAGAGAAGGATCTCGTAGCATGAGTGCTGGTCCTCCTGCAGCTGTAATCGTATTTGAAGGCGAAGAGCTGCATGTACTGACTCAGAGTCATATGCAGTTTTAGCGACTGTGACAAAATACAGGAACTTTGCTTCTGTCTTACACACTGAGGACAGGAGAGTGAGGGAAAAATTGCTGTTACCAAAGACTGCAGTGTCTGTGTAGAAGGAGACTCGGAGTCCAGGTCTGATGTTCAAAGGCTTTTATTGAATGTACTACACTTGGCACATTTAAAACAGATGGTTCTTCAGAGGTTCTTTAGTAAAGAAAACGGTTCTATATAGAACCATGAACACTCGGAGAACCCTTTGCATGATTGAAGCGTTCTTTGCATTGTGAAAGGGTCTTCTATTAAAAAAACTACAATATAATACGAGAGACACGTCTTTTTAGAGTCTTCAGTTGTTGTGTCCACCAAACTGCAGCGGCCGCGTTTGTAGGACTTTATCAGTATCTGTTGTGTTGCGCTGCCCTTTGTAATACGGCTGTGTTTTTGCGCACGTCCCTGCTGATTGGGTAACACCTCTGACAGATGTTAAGCGAGAGAGAACGCACATCACAGCCTGTTTCACACCGTTTCAACAAAACATGTCATTCAACCTGGAAACCGTAGCAAAACAGTGCACAATGTTTGCCCCTGGTATCAGATCAGCGCCATCTACAGGGACAGTGCTAAAATTCTCAGATGGAGGGTTGGATGTTTCAGTGGCCTTTACTGCCCGTGTGATAAACAGTGCAGTGTCGGTGCTTTGTAGTTCCTTATTTTCCTTCCTCGAGACAGTAGGATGTAATGAATGGATTGTTTGCAGCTTTGTTGTGGAAAGAATTGTGGGAAATCTGAGAGAGGGATTTTGCTGGGCTCTGACGAATGACGCGAGTCATTGGGGGCAGATTAGTGTCTGTCTATCTATGTATTTATCTCTCTCTCTTTCTCTCTTTCTCTCTTTGTCTTTCTTCCTTTCTTTCTCTTTGTCTTTCTTCCTTTCTCTCTCGTCTTTCTTTTTCTGCCTTTCTTTTCTCTCTCTCACTCTTTCTTTTTGTCTTCCTTTCTTTTTCTTTATATTTATTTGTGTGTCTCTCTCTCTCTCTCTCTCTCTCTCTCTCTCTCTCTTAAAGATAGGGCTTTAAGGGTTCTTTAGTAAATAAAATAAAGAAGTAAAGAACATGGTTTTATATAGAACCATGAACACTCAAAGAACTCTTTGCATGATTAAAGAGTAAAGTTCTTTGCTTCATGAAAAGGTTCTTCAGATTGATGGAAAATGGTGCTATAAAGCACACAAAGCACCATTTCTATTAAAGGGTTCTATACAGCACCAAAAGGGTGAAATTCTTCTATTGTTATGGTGTCACGCTTGTAACAAAAGAACAACCCTTTTGGGTGCTGTGGAACCCTTTTATTTAAATGGTGCTTTGGGTGCTTTATAGGACCATTTACTTAAGAACCCTTCAAGAACCATTTTTACGCGTGTAGGGTTGTAATATTACACGTTTTCATATCTGATTCAATTATGATTTTTAAATTTAAGTTCAAGATTTGATTTGACTGCGGATACTTCGTCTAAGTTGTCTCGATTCTACAAAGCTCTAATCATGTTTTTAGAGCCCTGTTGTGGCTCCACAGCAGAATCAGATTTGTAGGTAAAAATAAAATAATCCTCCTTTACAGTAATGTAACAAAATGCCTCTTAACATTTGGGTTGCGACCCCTGTTCCTACACACATTGATTTGACTGACATCAAATCAGTGATAAAGCCCAGTCTTTTGAGCTTGGGTGTGTCCATAGCATAAGTCCCGCCCCCTTCTGCCCACCTTACTCTAACAAGCTGCACCTAGATGCCTTTTTTGATCATTTAAGTGTTTTCCAGGAAAGATGTAAATAAAAGATGCTCAGAGAAGAGAGAGGGGCGTGTCTGTGATGGTTCAGATTTTTTTTGACACTGTGTTGAAATTGTTACATTCTTCATCTCTAGTTTGTTTCTTTGTCAATTACTCTTTTTCTTTTATCTCTCTCTCTCTCTCTCTCTCTCTCTCTCTCTCTCTCTCTCTCTCTCTGTTTCGCTGCTGGCTCTAAAGAGCAGGAAGGCAGCTCTACCCTTAACGCCGAGCTATTGCTTAGGTTTTCTTCTCTGACGTCAGGCCGTCCGAAACTGGAACTCTATTGAAGATCGACTTCATTGTGTTGGTGAGAAATTTCACACCTTTTGTCGAGTCCACCTCCTGCCCCCAGACCTGCAACATGACTCATTAAACAAGCCCGCTCTGTGATTCTGCGATTAGGTTTCCTTTCAGCGTGCTGATGTTCTGTTTTTGTCGTCGATTGTTGTGTCCCCGAGCATGTGTTTGCTGGAAAAGATGTGCACTCGCGTTTCCTTCTGCTTCCACACAGGGAAGTCCAGATAAACATCTGCTGTACTAATTTGGATGAATGAGTATTGTTTGGGAAAGTGCAAAGCTCCCCTTTTCCTCCCATCTGGCTCCTGTGGTTTTTTCACTTTAATATTCCTCTCCAAAAAGACACCTACAGTTGTTTATCTCCAACAGTTTGCACTCAGTATGTTGTACATCTTCATGCACACCGATCAGGCATAACATTCTGACCACCTCCTTGTTTCTGCGCTCATTGTCCATTTTATCAGCTCCACTTACTATATAGGTGCACTTTGTAGTTCTACAGTTACAGACTGTAGTCCATCTGTTTCTCTGCATACTTTGTTAGCCCCCTTTTACCCTGTTCTTCAGTGGTCAGGACCCCCATGGACCCTCACAGAGCAGGTACTATTTGGCTCGTGGATCATTCTCAGCACTGCAGTAACACTGATGTGGTGGTGTGTTAGTGTGTGTTGCGCTGGTCTGGTCTGAGTAATGTTACACCTGATCGGTGTATTTCCTGTGTATTTGTGACCTTTGTGTCTTAATGTTGTGCAGTTATGCTCATAAGGGGGATTCCAGTTTTTTAAAATATTTTTTCATCATTAAAGCTTTAAAATAAAAAAGTAAAGAAGTTAAATTCCACTTTCTTTTACCTAATTAAATATTTTATGAGCCAGTAAGTTTAAAGCTTCACATTTTAACCTCAAAATGATGCAGTAATTTTGAAAAATTTGGTGAAATGGTGCTCGACTCGGATACGCAGTTCTAAGAACAACCTTATATTGGTATAGAACCTCTACATTAGGTGAGGGTTCTTACACTTTAAAAGAATCTTCAACAATCACAAATCCGATTTACAAAAATGAATCTTTAAAGGACACCTGAAATCAAAAAGGACCTTTTTACCTCGTTAGTTTTTGTTACTGGGTTTATTAAGCCTGGTTTGTCATAACATGTTAGATTATATTATATAATATTATAGAATTTGAAAAAACTATGGATGTCCAATAGTTGCTTTGATTGTTGCCTGTCTCTAAAATGTCTGCTTTAGAAAACTCCTTTAACTCCTAAACTCCTCCATACAGGTGCAAAGCCAGTGTTGGGGGAGGAGAAAACCTGCCTTTACTTCAAAAACATTATTGTAATTTATTGTTTTCCCCTTATCGATATTATTGCAGTCATGCAGTTTAATATATTGAATGCTGTAAGTTTGAAAAAGTGGTGAATGGTGCTCGACTCAGATATGCAGTTTTAAGAAAAAACTGTTATTGGTGGAGAACCTTTACATTAAGTGGAAGTTCTTAGACTTTTGCATCTCCAAAATGGTAACTTTACAGGAGAAGGAAAAAACCTACTTCACTTTTAATGTAAATCAATGGAACCAGAATTTTTTCCAAGTCATTATGGGTCAGTTCTTCTAGTCCATTCATCATGAAATTTACACACAATGTAAAGGTCAACAGGTATTTGATTACAAATTATGCCAAAAACAGAAAAACAACAAAAATGGAGATACAAGGTTTTCTTCTGACAGCAGCTGTGTGGATGGTGTGTGTGATTTTTGCCTGACTCTAATGTCTTCTGACTTTTGATTACATCACTTTGCACCAGCAGGTGGAGAAAATATTAACCAATAATATCGTGTTCCACCTTCTCCTACCATCCCCACCTATCATGGACAGAAAACGCTCAGCTAGCTTGTTTCACTTACAGTATGGAGAGCAAATGTGTTATGATTTCTGATTCATTGACTTGCATAACCATCCATTGGAAGCTTCTTTAGTCGTTCTTCAGTGGCCTCAGTCTAAAGAACCCTCTATTTTCACGAAAAAATTCTGACGCATGTTGAGAATTCATTCCTGACTCTGTTTCCTTTTCCAGACAACATGGACTCCTTCAGTACGAAGAACCTGGCCCTGCAGGCCCAGAAGAAGCTCATGAGCAAGATGGCGACCAAGACGATGGCCAACCTCTTCATCGACGACACCAGCAGCGAAGTCCTGGACGAGCTGTACCGCGTGACCAAGGAGTACACCCGCAACCGCAAGGAGGCGCAGAAGATCATCAAGAACCTCATCAAGATGGTGGTGAAGCTGGGGGTTCTGTACCGCAACGGCCAGTTCAACAACGAGGAGCTGGCGCTGGTGGAGCGTTTCCGCAAGAAGGTGCACACCCTGGCCATGACGGCGGTCAGCTTCCACCAGATCGACTTCACTTTCGACCGGAGGGTCATGAGCGGCCTCCTGAACGACTGCAGGGAGCTTCTGCACCAGGCCATCAATCGTCACCTGACGGCCAAATCCCACGCACGCATTAATCACGTCTTCAACCACTTTTCCGACTGTGACTTTCTGGCTGCGCTGTACAGCCCCTCCGAGGTCTACCGGGCCCACCTGCAGAGAATCTGCGACGGGGTCAACAAGATGCTGGATGAAGGCAGCCTTTGACACCATATTTTGGCCTCCTGGAGCTCTTACATTGTTCGTTTGTTGTTTTTTTTACTTTGTATGTGAACATTTTTCCATTATTTCTGTTGTTTTTGTTTAACCACCGTCCACCAAAGGCTTTATTAAGCTGTTTCTGGCCCAGCGTGCTTCTCGTGGGAGGACCCTAACACGAACAGCTGCCCCAAGTGGCCTTTCCGTGACAATGCACCACCCTCATGTTTTCGTGCTTAAACCATTCAAGGAAGAGCATGACTCATATTTTAAACACCCGCTCCTGTATGGCTGGATTATTCAGGGTTGCAGATTGTTTAAACTATGAAAGGAAATGCTGAGGGAGCAGATGGACGTGCTTTTCCCATATTTCTCGATGAGTGGAATCATATAATCGAGCATTTTTAATGCACTATAGTGATTAACTTTTAATGAAGGAGATTTTTGTTTCATCTCTTACATGGGATTAAGGTTTACATTGTACCCTTTCATGTTTTTGATTAAGAAAATATCATGCCAGCTTGGAATGACTGTAGCTTGTGATCAAAGGACCAATGTACACAATCTCTGCAAACGTTTTTAATCTTTTTTATGTTTTAACGCCCGTGTGAGTCATATGAGGACCGCTATGGAGAAGAAGTGAACCGAGAAGGTTTATAATGTGTGTACAAACCGGTCGATGATGTCTCATTGCACAATATTTATCACAATATCGCCTTTTCCAACACTGATATCGCAGAAGGCTGCAATATGCAAATGAGCCTCTAACAAATCACTATTTTTTTCTTTTATTGTGTGCTGTGAACATCCTGAACAACTTCCTGCCATCTAACGTTTCGTCAACAATGCAGGCCGATCATTCACCATGTCAAATTTAAAGGTTTACCGCATGTATTCTTAATATATTGCAAAGCTGTATTATTGCAGTACATTTTATCCATGTCGTGCAGCTCTACTTAGTAGTTTTACGATGTTTTATGGCCTTTTTGTGACGGATTCACTTCGCGATCTTTTGCCCTGATGCAGTTCCTCCTCAGGAATGAAGGAGTATATGAGCATTTTTCACTGTACTTTTATTTTCTAATTATTTGCTGTTGTAAAATGTTTATATTTTTTATCACCGTGCCTTTCCCCCTCCCACACTTGTGCGCTGTCCATTTTGTTTTCTTGTGAATGTGCAACAGTCCACTGATTCTTTCCTGTCTCTGCCATTCACACACTGTAAAGCAGCTCTGCCAAAGAGAGGAAAAAGCAAAAAAAAGCTTGGTTTTATTTTTGACAGCAGGGCCTGTGTTCAGGAAGAAGCACAGTAGGAGTGCTGCTCTTGGGTTAAACTTCCTTCTGTCCTGTTCGATCTTCACTGTGTGCTGGAGCACAGCCCCGAAGCAGAATCAGCACTTCCTCTGAAGCATTTAACGATACGCAGCATAAGAACTGACCCAGCTATGCTCCGCGTTCTTTCGGAGTAACTGTTGCGAGGTTGGACAAGCTTTAAAGAATGATGGCCACAACATTCAGCCTAATGAACTCAGTAGCACAGTGATCAGAGTCACAGCAGTATCAGCAGATATTTGCTTTATAAAATACATTCCTGCTGTCGGAACAAAATCTCATCTCCATTTTCATTGCTTTTCAGTTTTTGACATAAATGTCTGTTGCCCTTTTACATTGTGTGTAAATTTCATGGTGGTTGGACCAAAAGAAACACCCCAAAAGTCTTGGGGGGTCTAAAAGTAGACTGTGTTTCCTTCTCCTATAAATTTATCCTTTTGGAGATACAAGGCTTTGTTCTGACAGCAGCGATATCAGCATCTGACTGTTTAGATTTGACCGATATTTTGAACTGAAAGTTGATAACGTTTAGTTCTCTGGAAGAGCAGAATGTTTAGGTGACGCTAAATTACCACACTAAAACATCTGTATTTTATTAATTTTACTGCATTTTTAGAAATGAATGTTTTACTTCTCTAATGCTAATCCAGGTAGATGTAATCCCAATTTGTACATTTTCCAAATACAGATGTATATATCGGCATTAGTAGCGACAAATGTACATGAAAAATACTGGACATCACCATCAGCCCACTCTCAGTGGATCCCTAGTTGTGAGGTTGGACAGGCTTTACAGAACTCGTTCAGCCTAATGAACTTAGTATTGATGCACGATGACAATGGAATCATATTGATAATATCTGCATTATTTTTATACTTTTTACTGTATTAATTTATGGCACTACAGAAATAACATTTCTCTGAAATGCTAATCTTGTCCCAATTTTAACACTTTACAAATGTGCATTGTTATCGGCAGATATGTACATGAAAAATATCGGATGTTGGATATCGTTATCGGCCCAGTCCCAGAATCGATGCATCCCTAGAGTTTAGACTGAACTGTAGATTTGTTACGTAATGTTGAACGTCCAGTTTAGAATGCTATGCTACTGAGCTCCTCAAAGCATTGTTTTGAAATGAACAAATTTGCATATTTTGAGTTGTGCGCAACAAGCTTGACCAACCCTGCAGCTGTAGCTACAAAAGAATGATGTGGGCGGAGCATAGCTAGATCACTCGATTGCGGTTTTGAGCATTTGAAACAAATGTTTGTGTTGCTGTGATGAATTGAGAGGGAATAGCTTGTATGAATACTGTACCCCTTTCTTTTAAAACCTGGGTGCAGTGGTCCTCAAACTCCTCAGGGACCCCTAGACAGTCCAGATTTTTTCTTCCAACATAGGGCAAAAATGTGAACTGACTGAAGTGAAGCCACTTGATTTATCAAGGCAGTATGAGTGTTTGTTTTGAATGTGTTATCATTGCCTGGCGTATCTGTAACCAAATATTACCAAAGGTAAACAAACGGTTTGCAGCATGTGTGCACTTACCAGTAGTCTTTTAGTGTTCCTCGTTTTTATATGTGTGTAAAAGTCTTCTGAATGTATCCTAGGCTGTTGTGGCCAGCTGGCTACGACACTAAAGCTCACTAATAAAGGATCATAAAGCCAAGCAGGCCTGAAGGTGAAGCTTCAGAACTGAACAGAAGCGAATGCTACGTTTTTTTCCCCCCAACAAAGCCGAGCACGTCTCAGGGTTCAGTCCTGTCTGTACTCGCAGGGCCAATTCAGAAGGATTACGGAGCCGTGAATCTCTCTCACCATAGACTTCAACAAGTGGTTAAGGGATCATCTTCCACATATTCAGGTTCTTATGACATGTGAATTCCAGTTTCAAGCATGAACAACTGTACATATTTCCATCCAGTGTCCTTTCACTTCTCCATAACTGTTTATATTGGTCCATATATATATATATATAAAGGAAACCTTGTTTTTAAGTGACCCCTTGCTTGTATGTCTTTTCTTTACAAGGCCTATACGGGGCTGTTAGATTAAAGTGTGCGTGCGGCCTAGATTAAGGCCTACTAATCCCTGAACTGTGGCACAGCATTGACGTGTGTTCACTTCTTTCCTTCGAACAAATCATGTTTTTGTCCTGTGTGCAGGTCCAAGTCAGGCCGAATTACTTTTTCTTTTTTTTTTCTTTTTTTTGAACTAGACGCTGTGGATCTGTTTGGGTTGCAGTGCAGGAGGCTCTAGTGCATGAGTCAGATTCTGCCTGACCTTTTTTTTTTTCCTAACCCCACTTATTTATGTATTTAGAGAAGCTGCTGGCTTAGGATCAGTTCCTGAAACACATGCGGAATTGAAAAATAGCCAAAGGAAAGGTCAGCTGTGCAGGGAAAAAATGAATCTGCTTATATGCTGCATGCAGCTTAGGCGAGACTAACAATACATTTTCAGTTCGATACGATTTTCTATTGTTGATAATTTGTGTTGGTGTCCATCTAATTACAGTTTGTGTGCAAGAGTCAGAGACCACCCTTCATTTATTTAGGCCCAATCCCATTTCACCCCAGCCTCCTACTACTCCTACCCGATTTTTCTTGGGATAGAGGGGTAGACCGAAGTGTTAGGGCTACATGGCCCTCCAAACGGAGGGTTTTCAGAGACTCCCTCCAGATTGTTACGGCAAGATGGCTGCGTGAGCGACCAGAGAAACCCATAAATGTTCTCTGTTAAAGTTACGATAACCACTGTATTATCTTAGTTTAATGTCGTTTCAATGTATTATGGTCCTTTTCTCCACAACAAGCATAATAATCGCTAGTAGTAGCTGATGTCTCAGTAGCTAGCTGGCTAATTTTCCCGTTCCACCTTAAATGGTGCAGCAGTACCGACGCCTGAGGCACTAGAATGTAAGTGCTGCACTATTTAAGGTGGAACGGGAAAGTTCGAACAAGAAGCTGGCGAATAAGTTCAGCGTCATATCCCTGAAGAATTAGGGGTGGGTGATAATAAATAATTGCCCCCCCTCTTTGAAGGCATTAATGCCCTAAATGTAACTAAAGCCCAGCAGTGAGGAGCTGAACTTTACCCTCCTCTGCTGTCACTGCAGACTGGCAGGGTCTCCTACAGAGCAGCGCTAGTAGCTGTTAATGAAGTAATGTTCTTTTTATTTGAGGGCCCCATTTTGTGGGGACAATTTCAATCACTACCACTTTGTAACTCCGTTCCAAGGGGCAAGGTGACACTCGAAAACAAGGGGTAGGGGTGAAAATAAGAAATGGGATTAGACCTTTATGTCCAGTCAAAATGGCCATTAAGTTGTTCATTTTTCAGCAGCAGGAAAAAAGCAGAATATATATTTAGCAGAAAATCACACAGGAGCCTCAACAACTAAATATAGTTTGTTTCACTGAGTCACGCTTTACCTTTATTCCAGCTTCCATTCTTTCCAGTCCTCTGACTTGCACAGGACTGCTATAGAGTTTGATATGGCCCAAATAAATACATTTCAATATAAAAGCCATGTAGCACATCTTTGGGCAAAATAGTGATGTATTAAACAGTGCAGCTGAGCTATAAACAACACAAGAGCCTGAACTGCCTCGTATATAAACCATATACAGCATTTCATCATTTGCAATCACCCAAATTACCAACGTCCCAAAGATAAACACTGAATGTGACATTAAACATTAAGTTACGGGCGAGTGGGGTTGGTTGGCACAGTTTTTACTCTCTGCTGTATATCCCAGGAATACTGTACATTATAATAACCCAACTAGTATCAAATCAAAGCTGAGCATCTTAGCTAAAAAAACAAACACTCAACGTCCTTTCAGTCTCAGAAAGGATTTCCTGGAATTAGTGCATTCATGATTTAATTCATGTTGTGCCACCCACCCCCAATAGGGGGTTGGTGGGCACAGCGTTAAAAGGCTGTAATTCCAAAGAATGAAGCAAAAGAAATAAACAGATCTTTTGATTTAAAAGCACAAATATAAACATTAAATAGCAACCAAGTAACATTTTTGATTCAAATAAATGTTAAAAATGTTTTATTTTATCATTTGTTAGGGCCGAACAGTGGTGGACAAAATACACAACTTATGTACTTGAGTGAAAGTGTGGATACCTTTTCTAAAATATTACTTGCAGTCCTCTATTTATATTCCAGAACTTTCCAGAAATGATTTTTAATACATAAGTAGTTTTGTTTCAAAGTTATTTTATTTTCATCATAATAGACTCATCTTCAAAC